CATGACCTTGGTTTGGAAGGCAATTTTTTTATTAGACCCACTGGTGTAGTTGAGAATCTGAACAAGTTTTCAAGCATACAACTTTCCTTCAGGTCAGAAACAGAGCTTGCCCACTTTATCCTGAATTTGAATTTCATTCCTTTTATTTCAGACCTGAAGTCCTTGTACTTGTAAATTTACCATGATAGTGTTTTCCAACATTATTGAGTAGTCTAGTAAAAGTTATTACACCTTGTCTTGTAAATGTTGTCTTTCTTATATCATCACAGTTCCAACAGTTACTCCTACAGACAGATCACCATTAGGCTTGGCATAACTAAGTATGGATAGAGATGTCAATCCAAAGTAAATAGCTTTCTGCACCGTTTATGAAAACTGAAAAGGTAATTGATTTATGTTAAAAAAACCCCCAATCTTCTTGATTTGGTAAAGGCAAAAGCACTGCAGAAGATGTAAAACACCAAAAAGCTTATTATGAAGAAAAGGGGCTTTACCTTCATTCCTGGCTCTTGGTCTGTTGCAGGAGTTACCAACAGTCTTGCTTCCAATTTGTACATAAAACTGAACCAGCCTGTTAAAAAGAAAAGTAGAGAAAAGAAGTGTAATTATCTTCTGATACCACAAGATCAGTCAGGATAATTTTCTCATTTTCAGTTAGGTCATTATTCCAGACTTATTGATTAGGGAATGTTGCCAGAGAAATCAAACATGGCCATGGTAAAGAGTGGAGTACCTAAGACAGAAGAAGGTGGTGTAGTTTATTAATTCTGTACCTAATAAATGTATTTTTTTTGAGTGAGTAGCAGAATCTTGCAGTTCTGTCTTTCACAAAAAGTTGCAAAATCTCCAAAGCAGACGAAGCTGGTCCTCACATCAGCTCTTACCTTGGCTTCTGGTAACTGGCAATTGGTTTAAGCTTTAAAATACAGCATTACAGTTGTAATAACATTACTCTAGCCTCACTAAACCACCAATCCCCTTATTATTATGCCATCACTGCCTTATCTACTTCTTCTGCACAGGTTGCACACCCCAAACAGCATCTGAGCAGAGCAGAGAAACTGGACTCAAGCCCACGATGAACCTTTGCATGCTGCAAGTTGGCAATGCCATTCTCTTCCTTGTTTCCCAGCCAGTTTTGTAATTAGGATGATGCCTGCCTGTTGTCTTATGACTAATTGAATACTTGCCAATGTGATATTTTGGGTAGCAACTGCTTGTCCCTTGGGGTGTCCTCACTGGGGGTGAAGTGGGGTTATCGCCAAACAGAGGTTTTGTCCTCACTGGGGGTGAAGTGGGGTTATAGCCAAACAAAGGTTTTGGGGGAAATAAAAGAACATAAATCTAAAGGAAAGCAGACTTCATTAATTCTATTGCTTGTAGGTAACTTCTCTATTTAAAATACTAATTTTGAGGTGAATTTATTTCTCTGTGTGAAGAAACAAGGCTTGATTTTCTACTCATATAATTCTCCACAAGGATAACTCTTTTGGTTTTAGGGGCTTTGGTCCTAATTTGTAGTGACTTCGGTAAAATCACAGACAAGTCACAGGACTAAGCCAATACGATGCAGACAGGACTCCAATTTCCCTCACCCACTGCTACATACACAATATCATGATCATCTTCTTGTTCTAAACCCAACCACATTCTGGTTCTGTTATCAAAACCTGTGTCTCCTATCTGAGATATTATGTATATCCACAGGTACTAGGACAAGCCAGAATATCCTCATCAGTCTCATTCCTTACATAACCCCATAGGTAGCTCAAGAACAGTCAGGCTCACAGCATTACACCATTTAGCCAGGTAACCCTATTTGTTTGCTGCAGCTCTGTCATCTGGGACAGTATTCAAGCAATAAAACACTAGACAGAAGTCTCAGAGGTGAAAAGATTTACAGTCCTGTGAGGAAATTCTCTTTTACACTGGCTAAACGTAAAGGTCTTTAAAAAGAAAAAACAAAGGACAAAAAAACACCCTTTCTGCAGAAGGGTGAATCAACCCATCTGATCTGTAAGTGTCTGACCCAGAACAGCTCCCTTGGATGGTTGCACAGTGATTAGCAACAGAGTCTGTAATGCAGACAGGAGCCAAGTAAGCTAACAAGCCAGATGTCACCACTTGGAAAAAATATACATAGTCCATGGGTTTTATCTAGCTGCCAGGTAGGCACTGTGTGCAAATGGTCCCACTGAACAGAGAGTGAAGTGTTGTAAGGGACATGCCTTCAAAAATGGGAGGCAGTAGCTCACCAGCAAGCAAAATGCATCCAGGTATCACTGCCAGTCAGAAGGATGGAAACACTGCCAGTGGAATTGTGCTTTTGGTGTATTAGGCCATGCAATAGGGAAAGGATGGAGAGACTCCAGGAGGTTTTTGAAGTGTAGAACAAAAAAACCCAATATGGTCTGGGTGAAATGAATTTTGACAGTTACAACTCTGTTAGTACTATAAGACGTTCTCCTAACATCTGGGGAAGAAGTGTAGTCAGTCATATAAAGGAATAGAGAGGCAATAGGACAAACAAAGCTAAGGTTATGATACAACTTCATGTATATATAAAAGTCCATATAAAAGTCCAGTGGTAAGGTTATGATACAACTTCATGTATATACTAAAAGTCCAGTGGCTGTTTATGATCATTGGCTTCAGGGCACAAGATTTAGTTTTAAATGCTCTTAGTGCAACACTTGAGTTTGGTGATGCTTTCCTGAGCAGCACCACACACCCCAGGCTGGCAAGTCTCAACCCTTTTGGAGCAGAGCAAACCAACACCAAATCCCCAAGGACCCTGCACTGCTGGGAAGAGAAGAGTGAAGGGGAAGAATCTTTGTACTTGTAAAGAAAAAGAAAAATTCTTTACATTCTTACATAAAATGTGCACTTTGCATTGGAAAAGCTGTAACTGAAGCAAGGTGATAGGAAACAGGCATAGGTAGATCTGCAGGAACTCAGAAAGAAAATAAAACTTCAGCGTCTTGCAATATGTTTATATTTTTCAATCAGGCTCTTCCATGCCTGATTTAACAAAACAAGATCTTAAAAGGTCTGGAAAAACACTATTAACCTGAAAAATAAGCAGCTTAAAAATCTTCTGCAGGAGTTACAGCCTTCCTATTCACAACCCTCAATCCACATATCTAACAGTGGGTCTTTCAAGGCATATTTTCCTGCTGTTTACTCAGCCACCAACCCCCCCTCCAATCAAAACACCCTTGCAAAAATAACAGATAACTCTGCAGGGGCTAAGATGACCCCTAATAAGATAACTGAATTCTATGCAAGGCATTGTTGAATGCAAAAAGTAATACCAAAATGTGGAATAAAAGCACTTCCCTCTAATCTCCTCTTTCAAGTGACATTAATTTTAGCTCCAATAATGAAAAAAAAATTATAGGCTGAGGAATTATTTTCCTTTTAGGGTATGGGGCTTCCAGTTAACCCCTCACATTCTCACAAACTTAGTCTGCCTTTGCTTCTAGTGAAAAAAAAAAGACCCAGATGGTCTCAAACATTAAAGTGGGATGCACCTGTTCCAAGCAAGGTGTCTGAGGCTGAATGTCTAAGTTATACAAGGGCAACCCAGACTGCCTTATAATTAATGGAAGAGAGAAATACATGCTTCCAGAAGACAAAGCACTGGCCTTTGCTAGACCCTGTTTTAGGATGAGTTGTGTTGCCCTTTTGATGCAGCTATTCCCTGCTCTGAACATAAAAGCAGCCTGGGGTAATTGCTCTAGTGTAAAGAGTACATGTTCTGGTCAAGCAGCATGAGGTGGCTACTACCCTTGAGTACACACATGACTGAAAAAACCAAAAGATCAATGCTAGTCTCATTTGTGTTTGAGGTGACCACTGTGTTTGTTCTGCCTAGGGAACAGCCCAGGGATGTGGCTTCGAGCTTGAATTGTTCAAGGAAGTTAACCTGCTCACTGTGATGCTTAAAAAAAAAAAAAAAGTACTGATTTATCTTGACCTAACAATCAGTTGCAGCAGGAGAGCAGCTCACACGGTGAGTACCTGCTCAGAACACAGAGCTTAGTTGCTCTTACCAAGTGTCCCTCTGGCCTTTTATGTTCTTGGGGCAGTTTTAAGTCACCCAATGACCATATTGTGCAAAACAGAAGCAGTGTTAGAGTAAAAAATGTAGACAAAGAGCATTGCTCAATACTTTAAAATTTCTTTTGACCTTTAAAATGACTCCAACTCTACAAAAATGGAAAGCTATAAAAATGAATATGAGGCATTAAAAGTGGTTTCAAAGTAATCTTAAAGCTAAAGAAAACACTTTTCTTTTACGAATAGATTTCTCTGTGAAAGAAGGAATAACTCAGAATTACCCTTTGAATATTAAGACTTCTGGATGATGTGGTTACTTCCAATATTATGCTCCACAGGATTAATAACACGAAGTTTAAAGACAGTGGAACAGAAGTGCTCAGAGTTCCAGGGCAAACATACACTTGTCCAAAGCATATTTGTCAAGCAATTAATTATTTTAATTATTAACTAATTTACCTAATTATAGAAATATTTTCCATCTTTGTCAGGCATGCAGGGGGTAGAGGAAAGGCAGCAGCTGCTGTGCTGCTCAGTGCCAGGAGCAGCTGAGGATGTCCCCAAACTTGCAGCACCCTCACTGCTTGCCTGAGCTGGAGAATGGTAGCAGGAACTTGTCTTTGCTGAGTGATCCCACGAATTAAATCATAGCATCACTTACTCTCAGAGAGAAATATCTTTAATTAAGCTAACTGACACAACTGTAGGGTGCATGAGGTTTCAGGTGTGTGATCCCTCATGAGTCTAGACAAAGCACCAGCCAACTCCAGGTTAAATGATGGTTAGAATTAACAGCCCTTTGTTTATCCTAATTACATGAATCAGTTAGACAATTTGAGAGAAGAGGATAATTGCTACCAGCCAAGCAGGATTCAGTGGCAGCCAGGAGAGAGGTGAAGGCTTGTTAGCCTCTTGGCTATGCAGAAACAATTCACATTCCATTCCTTTACACTTCTGACAAGTGGACGAATTCACAACATCTGGCAAGTAAACAACAGCTCCTTGCTATGCCATCATCATCATGCCTTCCATTCAACCCACTCAGCGGAAAAAGAAGCTTTTCTCTCCAGCTATGGGCAGAGTCATAGGTTTTCTGCTTTCTCACGACCATGTCTTCTGCCTGTCCATCTACAATACCATGCAGACTAACTTCTCAGAAGGACAGAGAGTTAATATTTTCTTTATGCTGCTATTCCACTGTTTCTAACCTAAGTATTTTCTCTCAAGAAAAGAAATAGTCCACCAGAATGAACAAAAGAGCATTTCCTCTGCCTTTTAGAGGTTTTACAGAGATTGTGATTACCAGAAAAACATTTCCCTCCTTCTCACTTGGACATTTGCAGCAGGGCAGAGAAGACAATAAGAATACACAAGCAATTGTCAGAGCAGCACTGAGGATTGACCTGATATTTGTGGTGTCCAGGGGAACAGTCCTCGCCTCCCTCTTGCCAGGTCCATTGAAGTACAGGGATTTTCCATCACTGAGCACACCACAGCCTGTCCCAACCTGACCTCCTGTTATCTTGTACCAGAGAGGGCTTAGCTTCCTCTCAAACCTGTCGAACATCTCACTGTGATTAGGCACATTAGACACACAGGTTCCGTGCGATGCTTCAAGGGAAAAAAGAAAAAAGAGAGAGATGCTTTGGTGAAACTGTGCTGAGCAGAGTAAGGGTCAGATACAGTACACTGGCAGATGGTTCAGTTGCATCCACATATGACAAAGCACCAGGCTTTTCTAACAAAATGCCCTGATGACAGGATTGTACCTTTTTAAACCCACTTTACAAATTTTTCTAGGCAGGATAAGCCCTTTTCCTCTAAACTCTAAGATGGCTTATTTCACTGGGTGAAAAATAGCACAGCATATTTATGTTGATAAGGAATTTTTTGTAAACAGAAAAATATTATCCTTTAAAGAAACTGAACAAAAGATGGAGGCTTATTGCTTTGTTGGTATAGGGGGTTGAAAAGAGTGCAGTGTGCAACTGGTTATGTCAATCACTGGTTTTTTTTTCATAGGATTTGGGGTTTGGATTCTTTTCTATTTCAGCATAAAAGTCCCTGAAACCACAAGTGAGCAGAATTTTCCACAGAAGGGCTTGTCAGAACATATGTTCCCTCCTGGTCCCATGCCATCTGATGGCCAGGGGACTCAAAAAATGGCAACGACTCTTTTGAAGATGATCCAAATGCTTTTAAGCAGACTTTTCAGTTTATAATATTTTATTTTGTTTTCTCTTTTATCGTTAGTCCCTTCCCATTCATGCAGATGGTGATGTTCAAAGATTCTGCTTGCCAGGAACATCAACAGTGTCCACTGCTTTCAGCTGCTCTGCTTTGCCTGTGCTGGATTTTCTTAAAAAAACCAAAAAGATTCTTGCTGGCAGCCCATGAAATACGTCATCCTATGTTTTTCTAGAATACTGAGGAAAACAGGATGCAGATTTACAGCTTTAACTCAGGCAGTGCTTACTGTAATCCCACCTAAGGAGGGTTGTGTTACCTGTGTAGCCCAGGTCACAGAAGCAGACCCCAGAGACGCAGTCCCCATGTCCATTGCAGTAGTTGGGACAAGGCTCAGAAATGTAGACACCATCTAAGCCAAAAGGAGGTACACTCTTGTGGGAGCTGCTCTCCTGGAT